TGGGGTGCGAGACAGGGGTCCAGGCCTTCTGCTCCTCAGGGAGAAGCTAGAAGTTGGGTCCCATCTGACTGTGCGGTGCCATGTGGCGGTGGCGGTTATGATAGCAGTGTGTCTCGGCCTGTGTTACCTGATGTGTGTGCGTGTCTGCGCGTGAGTGCGTGAGTGTGCGTGTGTGCGTGTCTGCGCGGGAGTGCGTGTGTGCGTGTGTGCGTGTCTGCGTGTGTGCGCGTGTGTCCGTGTGCATTAGTGTGTGCGTGTGTGTGTGCACGAGTGTGCGCGTGTGTCTGCGCGTGAATGTGTGTGTCTGCGCGAGTGCGTGTGTGTGCGAGTGCGTGTGTGCACGTGTGCATGTGCGCGTGTGTCTGCGCGTGAATGTGTGCGTGTGTGTGTGCGTGAGCCTGGTTTCTCATTTGTCCGGTGTGCAGGAGCCGTTCAGCCACCGTCCGGATCTCTCAGGAAGCTGCCCTGCGTGTAGCTGCACGTTCACTGTGACATGGGACAAGGGATTTGCTTGTGTCACCATCCTGGTCGACTCCCAGTTTCTGAAATTTTGAATTTTTCTTCTCAGTCAAAATTTTTACTTTTGCTCCAACAAATGTTTTCCTAAATTTGAAGTATTTTCTCCAGCATTTTAATCTTCGCTGTTTTCTTGGCCTCAGGTAAGATGCCCCACTTTAAAAACAGTAAAAATATTTCTTGCCATCGACTCTTCCCCCTGAGACGTGGAACTGCTGTTCCTGGGCTGCGTTTCAATCCTGCACCGACTTAATTTTTTCCAGTAAGGATCACTTGACTTTCAGACAGAACCAAGCTAGGAACCTGTAATTGTGGAAATCAGAGAAACGCTCATTAGCCAGTGACGTGAACGCGACGTCCTTCGTTGATTTCGTTTTCTTTGTCCTTAAAGATGTTTTATCGCATCACTTTCTGGTTTCCATGATTTCGTTCTCTATCAGCTGACTGATTCTGAACCTTCTGAGAGTTGGTATGTGGCTGGTCTCGGTAGCTCTGTCATAGGCACTGAGAGGAGTCGTTTATTCCAGACTCGTTGACTTTGGTGTTTTACAAATGCCCGTTAGGTTAAGATGGTTGATGGTTCATGACCCCATCGTGTCTTGCTCCCTAATCTATGGAGACGGTGGCGTTTAAATCAAGCAGCTGAGATTGTGGGTTTCTCTGGTACGCGCCTTGTTTCACAAGATTCGACGTGCGTTATGCGTCACGTGAATATTTGTGGATGTTGTCTTTCCCGTGTCTGTCGACCCTCTTCGATTACGAAACGTCTCGGCCTCTGGTCACGCACTCCCGTGAGGTCCACTTTATCGGAAGTTAACATAGCCATGCTAGCCGCCTTCTACGTACATTTCGTACGGTGCGTATTTCACGTTTTTTCTTTCGAGCTCTGTCTTTACGTATGAAGTTCGGTCGTTTCGGACGGCACGCCGCGGGCATCTGTTTTAGCCTTCAGCGGTCAGTGTGTTTAGTCCACGTAATTGTTGACCGTGGACGTCGCTCCCACTCCCCGCCGTTCGCTGGCTTCCGTGCGGACCTGCGCGTCGCGCGTGCGCCGCATGCAGGGTCCGCCCGCCCTTCGCTCCGCCCCTTCGGTCCTGCTTCCTGTTCGGTCGCGGCCGTTTGCGTGTGAGTCAGAAGCGCATTTTTCTCATGTCGTCAGCTCTGCCTCCGCATTTTCAGCGATGCCAGTTGCTGCATTAAACACACTTTTTCAGTCTTTTAAGACTAGATATTACGTCCCTTTGCTAAACATGAGAATATTGCAACCGCGTACCCGTTTCCTCGGTCTCGTCCCATCTGATGCTGGAGTGGTCACGTGACATCTCTGTCTCACACGTGGGGTTCGCTGTAGCCAGTGACAGTCCCGGGGCTGTTATGGCTCATTTTCCGTAGTTTCATCTGATAGTGTCTTTTTCAACTCTCCTTATTGTGGGATATTCTTACTGAATATAGAATTATCGGTCGCTCCCCCCCCCGCCCCCAGCGGTTTAAAGGTAAAATTCCACAGGTTTCTGGTATTTGTTGAACGTAACCCTTTCCTTCACTGAGCAGTT